TCCCCCATTCTGTATCTTAGCATTTCGTTTTTCCTGCCAAAGTGGAGTATCTTGCATTTGTCCCTGTTGAACTTCATTGTGTTAGCTTTGGCCCATCTCTGTAATCTGTCAAGATCGTTTTGAATCCTGCTCCTGTCCTCTGGAGTATTGGCTATCCCTCCCAATTTGGTCCCGTCTGCAAACTTGATGATCCTGCCGGACACTCTCTCCCTCCGCAAAGGAGGCCCCTCAGGAAGGAAGGAAGGAAGGAAGGAAGGAAGGAAGGGAGAAGAGGGCCAGGTCCTCCCATTTGGACCTGGGGGCAGGGCCAGGCACCCAGCGCCCTCTTGGCATTCATAGACTCCTAGAGTTAGGAGAGACCCCTGGGGCCACCCACTCCCACCCCCCTTTCTGCCATGCAGGAAAAGCACCATCAAAGCACCCCCAACAGGTGGGCATCCAGGTTGAGCACCACTTCTCCAACCTCTACTTAGAATCCTAGAGTTGGAAGAGACCTGGTGGGCCATCCAGTCAACCCCATTCTGCCAAGAAGCAGGAAAAGCACATTCAAAGCCCCCTCAACTGATGACCAGGCCTGCAGCCAGGATTTCAATTTGGGAGGGGCTGAGTTTGATTTGGGGGGGGGGGCTGAGTCTGAATGAAAGAGGGTCTACCCTACCCTAGAAGGAGCCTCCACCACACTTCTGGAGCAGAGAGTTCCACTGCTGAACAGCTCTCTCTCTCAGTCAGGAAGTCCTTCCTCTTGTTCAGGTGGAATCTCCTTTTGTATCATGACCCCAATAATACCCCCATCATGCATATGGGATATATTGAGCATGGTGATCAGATCATGATAGGAATTAACATAACAGTTTGAATAATGCACCAGGAAGGCCTTCTCGCAGACCACCCTGAGAATTTTTTGGGAGGGCTGAAGTCCCTCAATCCCACCCCTTGGCTACATGCCTGCTGATGACCATCCAGTTTCTGTTTCAAAGCTCCCAAAGAAGGATCCTCCACCACACTTCCAAAGCAGAGAGTTCCACTTCTGAACAGCTCTCTCTCTCAGTCAGGAAGTCCTTCCTCTTGTTCAGGTGGAATCTCCTTCCTTCCCTGTCATTTGAACCCATGGCTCCATTGCGTCCTAGTCTCCAGGGCAGCAGGAAGGAAGCCCCCTCCCTCTTCATTCTGACAGCCTTTCCCATATTTATACAGGACTCCTCTGGTGCCTTCTCTCCACCTTCCCTTCTGCAGGTTGAACAGGCCCAGATCTTGAAGGCGCTCCTCTTGATTCATGGTCTCCAGACCTTTCATCTCCAGACCTTGGACACCTTCCGGCTTAAGAGTCAAGCCCTATGAGGAGTGGCTTAAGGAGCTGGGCATGTTTAGCCTGAAGAAGAGAAGGCTGGAGGAGATATGATGAGGGCCATGGATAAATATGTGAGAGGAAGCCACAGGGAGGAGGAGGGAGCAAGCTTGTTTTCTGCTTCCATGGAGACTAGGACGCAGGAACAATGGCTTCAAACTACAAGAGAGGAGATTCCATCTGAACATGAGGAAGAACTTCCTGACTGTGAGAGCTGTTCAGCAGTGGAACTCTCTGCCCCGGAGCGTGGTGGAGGCTCCTTCTTTGGAAGCTTTTAAACAGAGGCTGGATGGCCATCTGTCAGGGGTGCTTTGAATGCAATATTCCTGCTTCTTGGCAGAATGGGGTTGGACTGGATAATGGCCCAGGAGGTCTCTTCCAACTCTTGGACTCTAGGATTCTTTTCTATGGACTGTTGTGGAGCGAGGCCTCTCCCATTGTTGAGGTACAACTGTACCAGGAGCTCCTATTTTGTTTGCTTTGCACTGAATGTTTGTTGTAGTCCTAAGTTTCAGGAACTCTGCAGATAGGTGGCTTCTTTTGGCTGCAATCATAGGGCAAGCCACCTGTCAATTATAGTTAGGTTCCCTGGTCCCACCCCCTTTTGGGTTTTTGGAGGGAATAGGAGCCTTTTTGGTTCAGTCCACACAGAGAAGCTTTCCATGCAGGACATAATACCAAGAGCTCCTGTAGAAAGCTTCGTCTTCTACAGCTTGGCTGGGGTTATACAGCCCACAGCTTGGCCAAGGATCATACAACCTTACAGCTCCTTCGCTGAGGGACTTCAGACAGCAATCACCGAAACCTGAACTCCTTTTTCCCTGGAAGTCTACAAAGCTCTGCTTGGCAAGGGTCGCTTGCGGAAGCCCGACGCAGTTGGTACCGGGTGCAGGGGCTCCACGCCAACAGAGGCAAAGACAGACTGCCCAGATTAGAAGTTAAGGATTTCCCCATTAGTTAATTACAGTTAAGAAGATAGTGCCTGTTCCCTGTGGACAAGCTTGAGAAAGAGCCAATCGACCAGTGGTTCTCAACCTTTCTGATGCCGTGACCCCTTAATACAGTTCTATATGTTGTGCTGACCCCCAACCATGAAATTATTTTTGTTGCTACTTCATAACTGCAGTTTTGTTACTGTTAGGAATCATCATGCAAATAACCGATATGTAAGGTATATTTTAATTCAGTGGATCAAATTTGGCACAAATGCCCAATATGCCCACATTTGAATACTGGTGGAGTGGGGTGGGGGGCCTGATTTTGTCATTTGGGTGTTGTAGTTGGTGGGAGTTATAGTTTACCTACAATCAAAGAGCATTCTGAACTCCACCAACGATGGCATTGAACCAATTTTGGCAGACAGTACTCCCATGCCGAACAGAAAATATTGGAAGGGTTTGGTGGGCATTGACCTTGAGTTTGGGAGTTGTAGTTCACCTACATCCAAGGAGCACTGTGGACTCAAACAATAATAGATCTGGACCAACCTTCACACGAATACTCAATATGCCCAAATGTGAACACTGGTGGAGTTTGGGGAAATTAAAGCTTTGTATTTGGGAGTTGTAGTTGCTGAGATGTATAGTTCACCTACAATCAAAGAGTCCTTTGAACCCCACCAACGATAGAATTGGTCCAAACTTCCAACACAGAACCCCCACGACCAACAGAATGTACTGGAGGGATTTGGGATGAATTTACACTGATTTAGGGGAGATGTAGTTCACCTTCCACCTTTCTGATGGGTCTTTGGTGACCCCTCTGGCACCCCCTCGCGACCCCCCCAGGGGTCCTGACCCCCAGGTTGAGAAACGCTGCAATAGACTGTTAAGAAAGCTTTAAAGTCCCTGTTTGTTTTCATCAATAAAGAACTTTGTTGGACTTACTTTAAGCCTCTACAGAACTTTGTGTAAGGAAATCCAAGGGCCTTTAATCTGAGGCAGCCCCGGCATCCCGTTGGGCACACGGAATTTATGTCCTGTCTACAGTCTTATGCACAGGCCCAGCGTGCGACAGCACACCCATCCTTTACATTTCATTCCTTCTGCCGTAAAGTGTAGTATCTTACGTTCATCCTTGAAATCCGTGTTGTCAGTCTTGTTCCAAGCTCAGCCCCACCCTCTTCCAAAACCGCCGACCCCAAGCGTGCGTTTGGACGCGTGAAATAATTCCCAGAGAGCGGCGGCTTTAGTTAAAGAAAGTTTAATATATTTATATTTATATATATGTATATATGTATGTATATAATATGTTTCATTATAACAAAATAGGCAGTTATTATCGTGGGTAAAATATCCATTAAAATCTGACCTCTAGGAACATATTTATATTTCCAGGCTCCGGCTCAGAGCCCGCATCACCCGCCCGGGGGGGGGGGGGGGGGGGGGGGGCGGCCCCCCCCCTGTCTCCTGGGGGGAAATGGGGCGCCCCCCCGACTCCGGAGCACCGACCACTCTGGGTTTGCCGGAAGAGCCCCCCACTTCCACAGAGGTGGGAGGGAGGGAACGAGGCCTTCTCCCCCCCCTCCCCGGGGCAATGCAATGGCATCACAAAACATGGAAAAATAGACTATAAAGGATATCCTTATGAAACCCTTATGAAAATGAGCCTTCCCTTATGAAACAACGCCAGTCACGCAGACATCGAGTCGGACGCATGAGAAAGACCCCCCCCCCCCCAAATGGGTGGCCCGTCAAGCAGGTCCGCGGCCGAGGACAGAACGCGACGCAACTGGGAAGCCCGACCCCCGACCCCGACCCCCCCGGACCAAACCATGCGAGTAAAGTTAAGCGTGCAAAATGGCTCACAAATGGGTTCGTTAAGACCACTTGTCTTTCATTCGTGTTAAGAAATCTCAAGAGAGAAAAAAAGGACATCGAATATAAAGCTCTGTTTCCTCAAAATCCCCCCCCCCCCAGGACACCGCACTCCCTTAAACATTAAGGACTTTACCATGCAGCGCCCCGCCTCCCCCCCCACCAAAACGGGTCCCAACCGCTGACCCCCCCATGGGAAAAAAGGGGACCCCCCCATTGACATGCCCTTTTGGGGGGGCAGGCTCCGGACGGCAGGAAAGGGGCACCAAAGGGGGCGGAGATGGATGGGGGGGGTAGGAGGAGGAGGAGGAGCAGGTGCTTCCAGGGGGGGGGGCAGCAAGGGCACCTGCTCATTGGCCCATTCACTCTCTGGGCAGGAAAGAGAGAGAGAGAGAGAGAGAGAGAGAGGCAGTCTGGCGCTGGGTGGGGGGGCGTGGCAGTGGCACCCCCTCAGAGCTTCTCCTTGGCCGGGACCCAGATGCAGGGGCCGGAGTGCTCCTCAATGACCGCCTTGACCCGGTCGTAGATCTCCTCCAAGGTGTCGCCCTGGACAATGGCTGCGGGGGACAGAGAGAGAGAGAAGGCATCAAGCATCGTCAGGGCCCCCCAACAGCCCCCCTGTGACCCACTCTGCCCAGGGGGCCACCCCAGAAACCTCCATGCTCACCAACAGAACCAGTGCCTCCTCCCCATATTAAACCACACTCCCCAATGTAGAGACAGGGAGTCCTGACCCCTAAGTCCACACAGGCCTGTCTCCCCCCCCCCCCCCCCAGGAGCCAGTTCCCTTGGGTCTGGGGAGGGCGGCCTGTGACCCTCCCTGTCACAAGAAATGTGCTGTGCAGATCTGATAAATGTGGGTTTGAATTGAATTGTATGTAAGGTAGAAAGCAAATAATTTTGGTGACACCATTCTAAAATATTAAGACCTGTGATGACTAAAACTGGACTGTAATTAAAAGTTGTTAACGAGAACTGAAAAAGTAAACTGACTAAAACTGCTTGCTGGACTGTAATTAAAAGTTGCTAACGAGAACTGAAGTTGCTAACAAGAACTGAAAAAGTAAACTGACTAAAACTGCTTGCTGGACTGTAATTAAAAGTTGCTAARYAGAACTGAAAAAGTAAACTGACTAAAACTGCTTGCTGGACTGTAATTAAAAGTTGCTAACGAGAACTGAAAAAGTAAACTGACTAAAACTGCTTGCTGGACTGTAATTAAAAGTTGCTAATGAGAACTGAAAAAGTAAACTGTGGGTAAGAACTGTGACAGTGATAAGAGAAATATTTACATCTGCTTACATCTGTCAATATTTGCTGACCAGAACGTTTTGGAAGTGTTGTGGACGTAGAACAATGGCTTCAAACTACAAGAGAGGAGATGCCGGCCTTCCCTCCACCCCAGAAACCTCCATGCTCACCAACAGAACCAGTGCCTCCTCCCTATATTAAACCACACACCCCAATGCAGAGACAGGGCCCCCCAGGCAGCCCTGACCCCCCCCCAAAGAGACCCCAAGGCCGCACAGGACAGGTCCGCCCTCCTCCAAGGAGCCCAGTTCCCTTGGATCTGAAAAAGGTGGCCTGTGAGGGGCCCCCCCCCCCCCCCCCCCCCGTCACAAGAAATATGATGTGCAGATCTGATAAATGTGGTTTTGATATGTGTGGGTTTGAGTGGAATTGTATGAAAGGTGAAGGTATAAGAGCGAATAACTTTGAAGACACCATTCTATAATATTAAGGCCTGCAATGACTAAAACTGCTTGCTGGACTGTAATTAAAAGTTGCTAATGAGAACTGAAAAAGTAAACTGTGTTAAGAACTGTGACAGTGACAAGAGAAACGTTTCCATCACTTTACATCTGTCAATATTTGCTGACCAGAAAGTTTTGGAAGTGTTGTGGAAGTTTTGGAAGTGTGTGTTGGCAGGCTGCAGGGAAGCAGGGTGTGGCCTAACAGGTGTGCTTCTCCAAGGATATCATAATATTTGGATGCATGAAAGTGGATGCGTGTATATGTGGTGTGAATGCTCAGTAAAACTAAAACCCTCCTTTGTTTATTTGTTGGCCAATGTAACTGTAAGTGGTTTGTGAATCCAATGCAGACACACAGAATCTGTCTGTCCAATGTCGTTCTTAGTATAGAAGTGTAAAATTTCTGTTTCCCTTCTTCACTTTGAGAATTGTAATAAAAAAAGCCTGGTTTAGACAGTATGCACAACAGCCCCACTCCCCCCAAATTGTCACGATGAAATATGATATCTGGTTTGAATGAATGGCATGAAAGGTGAATTAATGGGGCCTAATTTGGTTGAAGACACCATTCAAGTTGCTAATGAGAACTGAAATGGTTGACCTGCCATCGTAAATTACTATGTGACAAATGGTTAACTGTTCGACTTTTGGGGGAAAACATTGTGTTTACATTAATCAGAGGCGATGGCTCTTTTAAGAAGGAAGTCAACACCAATTAAGGAGAGTCAACATCTGTCGGGAAACTGAGATGGACTCAACATGCCTCAGCCTGGCCCAGAAACCTACCATTAATTTACAGCTTTTAGGGACAACATCAGAAGAAATACTACTATGTAACGGACCTTCTAACATTCCAGAATTGTGGCAAACCAAAGGAGTCTGGCTCACCCGCCATGCTCTAGGAAAAGAGATGGTGTATGCCTTTTTCTCAAGGGAAGAGGAAGGTTTTACAATGGATTGTAATGTAATATAGCTGAGTCATGCACTGCTAATGGGCTTCTATTAGAAATGCTGAGTCATGCATTCACTGTATATAGGGAATCATTTGGGGAATGTGTTCTGGCCTAGTCCAGGTGATTGTGAATGATGCAATCCTGGGTCTGAGTTAAGTTAATGAGTTGGGAACCAATCAGAGATTGTTATGTGTAATTATATAGAATTGTATATAAGGAAGTCATGTACAGTATATACTTCTCTCCTTGTGCTGTAATGTTGTTCGTCGAAGGCTATATGTAATTAAAATAACCTGTCTGCTAAGACAAGATATAACCGTGTGCTGTGGTAAGTTTGTAGTGTCATCTAGACTGGGGGAAAGACAGTGGTAAAACTGACAATGGCCGGGCATGTGCTCAAGTGTCTGTAAAAGTTTCCAGAGTGACTGCAGTTTGTGGGAGCAGTTGACTGAAAATACTGTGCAGGAAGAAGCTACTGGAAAGCGCTGAAGTTGTGCAACTGATCTGCTGCTGAATTGTGAAGTTAATCTCAACAGAGTGTGATTTTGGAGTTTTGGATTTGCAAGGAAGTCAGGTTCTGCTGTATGGAAAACAGGGATCTGATTCTTGGCATCCTTAGGGAAAGGATGCATTTTGGTGTTTCCTAACTTGCTGCTTGCGGCGGAAAGAAAGAACTGGAGCGGCAGCCCCGCCTACGGGGTATTTATATTATCAGGGGAGAATGGGCGGGGCTACCATCAAAAAGTATCTTTTAAATTCCAGAAAGTTCCAAAACGGTCTGCGCAGGCGCAGAAACCCATATCTGTGTGCATTTCACAGGACCATGCAGAGGAAGAATGGTGAAATGGTGATGGTTGCATGGTGATGAATGAATATATATGTGTGTGAATGCTGAATGAAAATGTAGTTTTCCTTTTGCGAGCCAATGTAACTGTAGGCTGGGAATCCAATGTATTTGCATAGAATCTGTCTCCATGTCCAATGTTGTTTTTTGTGTGAAAGTTCTGTAAATGTTGTGACACACTTTCTCTTACTGGAGAATTGCAGTAAAAGGAACCTATGCTTTAAAGTTATTGTTATTCATAACGAAAGCGCGCCCCGCCCCCCTTCTGACCGAGAGGTGGTGTGACCCACCAGTGAAATGCTCCGTGAATTCCTGCTCCAGCTTCATGGCCCTCTCCGACGTCTTCCGCGCCTGTTCGTCCGTCAGCCGCTTGTTCATCTCCCTGAAGGGACACGGGGCAATCTGGCTGAGTGGGGGCCCCACAGAGACCCTCACAGCTCCCCTCCCAGGATGCAAGCAAAGGTCTTCTCTGGATAGGATCCATTCATCCCTGGGACCCCTCCCTCCCTCCCTCCCTCCTCAAGCAGTGCCTGAGAGCGTGACAGGGAGCGTTTTTGGGGAAGGAATGCGCCGCTAGCCTCTCGCTGCCACTCACATGATGTTCTCCACGGATTTGGGTTTGACGAAGATGGCGACGGGGTGCAGCTGGGCGATCTGCAGCCGCTTGATGGCGTTTCCAGAGACATCCAGGATGCAGTGCTTGCCCTGCGCAGGGGGGGGGGCACTCAGAACCAGGCCGGATCCCTCAGCCTCTTCAGAGCTTAAGACCGCCCAGAGTCCCCTCCTCTCCAGACAGGCAGCCTCCTCAGCCCCTTGCTTCCTTCCCATGGGCACCAGCCCCCAAAGCCCTCCCCACAAGCAACCCCCGGGCTCAAGTACCTTCTCAGCCACCTCCCGCACGGACTGGACGCTTGTCCCGTAGAGGTGGTTGTTGTACTGCCCGGCCTCAATGAAGCGGTGGTCCTGGATGTCCTTCTCCATCTGCTCCCGGGACGTGACAAAGTGGTAGTCCCGACCGTCCACCTCGTACTCCCGCTTTGGCCGCGTGGTGTCTTTGCCACAGGAGAGAGAAGGGGGGCAGGGGTTACGGAGGGCTCCCCAGAGCCTTGGAAGCTGGGGTGGAGGCACCCATTGGGCTGCCCCTCGCCCACTAGGAAGGCTCCCCTCCGTGGCCTCCTCCACCTCCACTGGGGAGGCAATGGACGGACTAGTGTGTGGAGAGGGGGGTCTGGAAGGGGAAGGCAGTCGGGTGCCTCCGCCCAGCCTTGTGGAAGCAGCGCAGTTACTGGCTGGACCCGCACACAAAGAGGCCCAGCCCGTGACTTCACGCAGCTGCCTGTGTTTGCTGGTCTTGGTGCCTCTCCTCTCTCTCCGTGGGGTAAACATGCTCTGCAGGCTCTTGGGGCAGGACCCTCCTTGCCTCCCCCTCCCCAGAATCCTCTGCTCCACTTACGGGGGACGCAGGAGCCAAACTTGTCAGGGAACTCGGAGATGAGGTCGTCGTTGATGCGGTCCTTCATGGGTCCCAGGATGATCACCGGCCGCGTGTAACTCACTGCAGGGTCAAGGGGTACAGAGTCTGGGCTCAGAGAGGGAGCGGCCCCAGGGTCAAAGGTCGGGGCGGGCAGGGGGTCTCTCTGGGCAGGGCTCTCTGTGTCGGAGGGAGGGCACTGCCAGGCCTTCTGGACGGGCCCTCTCTATGCCTGGAGCACCGCAGCAGCTCAGAGGGGCAGCAGAGGGCATATAGCCAAGGCCCTCGCAGGCACCAAGGGGAGGTCCTCCTCAGCAAGCAGGGCTCCATTCAGATGGGAACCTTCACCCCCACCCCTCCAGCACCCCCCTTCTGTCACCACCCTGGTGAGACCCCCCCCCCCAGAAATCCAACTCAACCCCCCCCCACTGGCCCACAGCACCCCCTGCTGGGCCTCGTCCCTTGCCCTCTCTGCAAGGGCCACTCCATTCACTTTGGGTCAAGGCCCAGTGAAAGTGGGCACACACACACAAATATGTGTGTGTGTGTGTATATAATGTATTTACGTCACTTTTATCCCACCCATATCAGCTTGAAAGTAACTCATTATAATTATGATAAATAGTAATAAAAATAATAATATCATAGTATTATTAAAATAGTAACAAATAGTCCAATAATCCAGGTATTACCATCCTTCCTCTCTACCTTAGAATTATTATTATTATTATTATTATTATTATTATTATTAATAACAATAATCTTAATTATGCCCCGCCACCATCTCCTCAACGGGGACTTGGGGTGGCTTACATGAGGCCAAGCCCAAACAACATATTACAACAAAATAAAACCAAAACATAAGCAACGAGCAACAGCATCAAAATTATATAAAAAGAACATATGAATACAATAACAAAACAGCATTCCAATAAACGCAATAATCGCAGTGACAGTGGGCGGGCCACATGTGCAGGGTAAAATATTTAAAAACTCGAATAGGAATAATATAATCATGATAATCTATCTCTATAAATAAAAATGTAATGTTCGTTTGTGGGATTAACAGAACTCATAAACCACTGGGGGAATTGACACCAAATTTGGACACAAAGACACCTATCAGGCCAATGGATGACCATCACTCAAAAAAAAATTATTTTGTCATTTGGGAGTTGTAGTTGCTGGGATTTATAGTTCACCTACAATCACAGAGCATTCTGAATGCCACCGATAGAATTGGGCCAAACCTCCCACACAGAACCCCCATGTGGGCCACAGCAACGCGTGGCAGGGGACG